CCCCTTCAGGACCCTCGCATTACGATATTTTTGACAAACTCTTAATTCCGTCTTCAAAAATAAAACCTAGCTGTCTTATTATATATTGCTTACACAACCATAATCAAAGCATTAGGACGCAATATAAGGTCTGGAGACAACAGACCTCTGAAATTCCTTTACTTTTCCTCAAACTTCAAACAAGGGATGTCCCGTTACGTAGTGGTGGGGTCGTACTTTCGAGTCTTTGCTGATTAATGAGCTCGTTATTAAGCCTGTTTTCACATCGCCAGTACCGTACTTAAGCCTGTTTTCTTACTTAAGCCCGTACCTAATGCTTTGGTTAATATCGAAAGAGTTAATTAATTCAAGTTACTTGGTGTTAGCTGTCAAAGTAACATGAAATGGAATTCTCACATCAAAGAAATTACTCGTAAGGGAAACAGGAGACTAAAGCCCCGTTTACACTACGCTCAATTTTTGGTACGGCACGGATAAAAGTGGTACCCGTACCACTTTTTTGGTTCTTGGACTACCTATTTAGGTAGTCCAAAAACCAAAAAGTGGTACAGTACCAAAAATTGAGCGTAGTGTAAACGGGGCTTGGCTAAATAGGTAGTCCAAGAACCAAAAAAGTGGTACGGGTACCAATTTTATCCGTGCCGTGCCAAAAATTGAGCGTAGTGTAAACGGGGCTTATGTCATCTAAGGCTCATGCAGGAAGGCTCACCGTCCTGCTGACTGCACCAAAATTCGTCCACTGCTTGAATATGTCGCACCAGTTTGGGGTGGCCTACCTCACTATTTAGTGAACGACCTTGAGCGTATTCAAAAGAGAAGCTTACGTATTATTGGTTTACCTGTCGATACACTTCCCCGCTAACTCTTCGAGAAATGGAGGCAATTACTCAGGACGTAAACCATCCCTGTCACCGCCTTGTCCCTATCGCACAGAAGCATGACTATTCCACTAGAACTAAAGAAAGAGGTTCTAATTTAATGTAGGTCGCATTATTTCCATAACCGAAAGACATAAATCATCGTTTATGCCTCGTTCAGTTAAACTTTTTAATAATAAACTTTAAATTACTACTGTAATAGACGGTTCTGTAATTTTGGGCTGAATGTAGGTTGCATTATTCTCTGAACTGAAGGACATAATCGTCGTCTGTGCCTTTGGCAACTGAACCTTTTAAAATACAAATTTTTATTGTAATATAGATGGTTTTATAATGTTTATGAATTTGTAAGTCCACTGTATTTTTTTACTTAAGTGGCTGTCTCACTAAGGTCCACTAAGAACCATGCAGAGCGTTTCAGGTTGAAAATTAGATTTGCTTTTTATTTTTACCATGAACTACCTTTGTCCTAAAAGGTATTAAAGTAATATTAGAATTTCTAAATTTTTCTTCTTTTTTTTAGTTATGACGAATTTTTGTCTGGACGTCGCGACACTGAAAACCCCCAAAACGGCGGTCAAATATGTGTTAAATTGTGCATCCTAACTCGGGAAGTTTCGCGTCAAATTAAAAACTTTTTTCAGCGTGTTGAGACATATTATTCTTCTTTTAGAAGGTTGAAAGAATTTGAACGTACATCTTATTTTAAGCCTACTAGTCTTCATCCAAGAAGTCGGTATTTTTGTTCGCAGAACAACTAATGATTAGGTACAAAATTCAAACTAAAAATTCTCAAAAGTGCAACCTACTTGGTGTCTAAAACACTTTTAGGGTTAAAGTAAAATACTTAAAGTTATGTTATTCGCAATAAAATTTGTCGGCGAAAGGAAAATGAAGGAGTGCAAAATTCATAAATTATGGCTATAAATAGCTCTATTGTTTACATTTGTGATAACCGGAAACACGTTCAATGTTGCTCGCGGAGTTTTTATAGCGACTAATATACTGCAAAATCATTGTATTTAACTCAGAAAAGTTTAATTCGATCGATGAAATGCGACGGATCTTAGTCTTTGAGGTCTAAAACGGTTAGAAGAAATAAATTCGTCTAGGACGTTGTATCCCTCATGACCGGACAGGTACAATGCCAATGGCAATGTCGAAAATATGTGTGTTGCCGTAACGTCGCATCGACGGGACTAGCTAACAGTCGTGGGTAGAATGTCGTGGATCGTGGGTAAAATGTCGTGGGTAAAATGTCGTGGGTCGTGGGTAAAAAGTCGTGGGTCGTGGGTAAAAAGTCGTGGGTCGTGGGTGAAAAGCCGTGGATCGTGGGTAAAAAGTCGTGGGTCGTGGGTAAAAGTCGTGGGTCCCGAGAAAAAGTCGTGGGTCGCGAATAAGAAATCGTGGGTCCTGAGAAAATGCCGTGGGTTCCAAACAAAATATTTCCATATTTTTACTTTTCTCCCTTTGGCTTTGGAATGCGTGTTTTTAATTAATTAATTTCTTCTGAGGCTTTCCCATTACTCAAATATACATAGTCTTGCGTGTGTTAGAGCGTGTTAAGGCCGGGTTTTTGATATCGGCAGATCGGTTTATAAATCTTAATATCACACTTGCGGAGGTTTTCCAACATATTTTGTCATTTTCAAAAATTTTTAATGAAAAATTCTCGCGTTTTGTCTACAAGTTTAATCCAATCATTTATTCAAGGTCTATGAGCTAGTTATAAACCTCGGACGAACAAAGAAAACCGACGCAAGTGTGATATAAAAGTTAGTTATAAACCTCGAAAGTCGGTTTATAACTGATATATTGCCATGGGCGTACCGGAAGGAAAAATTTAGGGGGGCGGAAAGAAATTTGCCCGACTGTTCAGGATTTTGCCCGACAAGTATGGAAAAAAGTTTTTCCGCCAAAATAATTTTGGTCAGTGTACCATTTTAGGGGTCAAAAAAATTTTCCGGACATACCAAATTTTTTCGGAACCTAACAAAAATTTTCGAAACATCACAAAATTGACCACAAAATTTACAGAATTTGTCCCATTTATTTTTATAATAAACCAAAATTGCCCGACTGTTCAGCGAATATTGCCCGACTGCTCAAACAACTGGGGGGCTGCCGCAACCCCCCCCCCCCGCCCGGTACGCCCATGTATATTGCATGTATATGGGCAATATATCAGTTATTAACCTCCTACTCGGTTTATAACTCTAACTAACCAAGTGTGGATATAAAACAGTTCAACTTCACGCCCCACATAGCTAAAATATTTGGACGGTTATAATCTTATAGACAGATAAATTAATTACTGTGATTCTTCAATAGCTCAACTCACTCAAGGGCCACATGTACGAAAGCTGAATAGTGCTATCCACTAGATATAGTCAAATTTTTATAACCGGCAATGGCATAATCAGGGACGCCGGGACTGGGGGGCAGGGGGGGGGGGCGCTGCCCCCCTTGCCTTTTGCTAGGGGGGCAGGGGGGCAGAAGTGCCCTTTAGTTGTAAAATACTATGTGATAAATCACATTTCCAACGATGCTTTTTGTAGGAAAATCACTTGAGATTCAGGCAATTTATAGTTTATACTTGACTTTTGTTATGTCCGGAAAAAAATTTTGACCCCTAAAATGGTACACTGACCGAAATGTTTTTGGCGACGGGGGGGGGGGGGGCG